GTTCCCCACTAACTCCACCAAGCTTTGCTTGCTTGCTGAGTGAGGAGGAGTACTCAGAGTACTAGCAAATGCTCTGCATATAATTCGTACGAAATAATTTGACTCAAATTAGACGTAATGAGTAAACCACTATGTGTAACACCCCGACCCCAAATCAGGGTGGGGCCTATTGTCATGAAATGCGCATCTGGGACCAACAATTGTCCTTACAGACCAACACAAGTTCTTCCGGCGCATTTTGTCCTCACTTATGCGCACCCTGGGAAACTTCCTAAGAGGTCACCCATTCTAAGACTACTCCCAGCCAAGCATGCTTAACTGAGAAGTATCTTACCATATAAGGTTCCTTAAAAAAAAGATGCATCTTGTTAATATGAGTAGTATATTAAGTTCCTTTAAAGCGATCGTGAGGGGTATTACACTATGAATGTGTAGAGATGAAACTCAATGCTCTAATAAAGATTGGAATCAAAATGCATTCGCGATTTTAAGTTTTATGATACACATTTGTCAGTTTATTTGTTTTAGTTTTATGATACACAATTGTCAGTTTGTTTGTTTGTGTTTTTTTTTTTTTTTTTTTCACGGTCAGCCAAAATATTCTATAGGAGAACTTGTACATGAAAGCTGGATAGGGGAAATATACTATGCACTGAAAACAATTAGCTTCAAGATGTACTTATCAGATCTCTCTGTAAGGCTATTTCATATAATGACATAAGGAATAATAATCTTGATCTTAAATGCAACCCCATTTTTCAAATATATATGTATGTCCGTTTTCTGTTCAATACTGCTCTCATACAATCCTGTTAATCATTTTATATCTCCAAAGTCTCAAATTTCTAATCACTCAGCACAACATTAAAGAAAATCTACGAGAAGCAAACTCTAAACATATTAATTGTGAGGTGATCCAAACGAGATCTTGGCAAAACATCAGTTAAACATGAAATTCACCAAGGACTATTGATTAGCTCTACCCTTTATCATTAGTAACTATAATCTACTTGCGGAATATCAACACATTGTCATATTCAAGCATAGAATTTTGCAAGAATAGTCATTAACAGGTAACAAATGCAAAACCTGATGAAAATGACATAGTATAAAACCATTAACTAACCTTTGGAAGATGATGGTACAACAAAAACGTGCAATTTCACATGATTAGGAGGAAGAGCCAGCCGCATTGGATAGAGCTTTCCATTCAAAGGACTACGCGAGCATAATGTAACCTCTGTTAACCCTGTCTCTTCCTCTAACATCTGAGTGAGCTCCTGAACTCCGTTCCCTTTAAATTCTACTGAACGTTCTCCCTCCACTTCATCAACAATGTTTCCATCATCATCCACAACATTATAATGTATAACACGGCCTTCATTTATCACACCGGAAGTACTAAATTCACCAGGCTGCAAATGGACGGAAAAAAGTCATAACATATGTAATTTCAACCAATATTGTATACAGTTTTACAAAAGCATGAAACAATTAGAAATGCACAATGAGTATAGAATTGATCACATCACACCTATTTTTGATAATGACTCCATTTCTACATTGTCCATTTTCAATTTGACTAGAGGTAAAGGTAATGATAGAATGCACTATTTTTTTCTTATTAATGTTTGCTTTTCAACAAAATGATGATTAAGACATGTAATTTAAAGAGAAATTCAATTAAGTATACACTACTCACTCTAATTCAAACCTAATCACTTAACTTATTTAATTTTTATCATTCCAAAACACCCACCACTTGTAATGGCAATGTATTTAGACTCGTTGCTTAATTTGTGGATGTCAACTAAGTTCTAAGATCGAATCTTGTCTACATCATTACCTTTGCGGCTCTCTCTACATCAATATATAAAATAAATAAATCAATTGGTGCCACCATGCCACATACCCTTATGTTACAAAAACAGACCTAATATCTCTAACATTTAACGGTAGATAAAAGAATCAAAAAATCGCCAATGTAAGCACCCCTAATAATAACTCGGATGCTAAAATTTGTTAAAAACACAATTCAGTGTTGAAACAAAAGAAAATTAGACTTACCCCAGAATAAGAAGTGACAAAAGTAGAAGCATCAAACTGAGACTCACACCTCTCCAACTTACTATCAACATCCTCAACTTCTTTCACCACTTCTTGCACAACATCATAAACCTCTAAAACCTCAATCTCCCACAATATCCAATCCTGTGTATGACTCCTACTAGGAACATCATGCGTTATCGAGTTTCGCCACGGCGGTAACCCGCCATTGGCCCTTAAAAAATTACCGTACCTTGTCTTTAACTTAACCTGCATTCCATCTCTCATAGGCTCCCATTCGATAGACGAATCGAGCCGCCTTGGTAACGTTTGTTTTACCTTCTTACCCGTAACACCTAATAAAAACTCGTCGTCTGTTGCTGTTAAATATTTATTGTAACAGCCTTTGAATCTTACAAGATCAACACTTTCTACGGACTTTACGTACTCGACGGTCCATCGTGCGTACTTTGATCCCCCGTGACGGTCTTGGCAGACGGACTCGCCGTCGTCTTCGGCGATCAAGTACTTGTCGTTGTGGCTTCGTAGTCGGACTGTTTTTGCATTCTGGAATAGCTCCATTCCAGTACTACTCTGTTATTCCAACCAATAGTGAAAATGAATCAAAACATAATAACACCAAATTTATTGTTATAGGATTAATTGCATAAACAACCACAAATTTTATTCAATGATAGCTGATGATGGTGAAATGGGTTTTTTGTAATTTGTGATTTAAAATGCAAAATTTGATTCAATTGGGATTTTTTAAATTGACTTGAAATGGGTTTTTTTTTTTTTTTTTTTTTTTTTTCAGGTTGAATAGAATTTTCTGGGAACTTGAGTTGAAATTTGGAGGTTTGATTATGGTTGTTGGGATGTGAAAATATCATGTGATGTTTCAACGGTCAGAAGACTGCATAAACCTCGAATTATTCAACAGATATAGTCGTGCACAACAAATTTATCAGGTGAATTGGGATTTTTTATATCTAATTTTATAGAATAGACTGCAAAATTCATCCTAGTTGATTTTTTTTTTTTTCTTGATTGAAATGTGTGTATTTTTTTTGTTTTTGGATTGAATACAATTTCTGGGGTTTTAAGTAGAAGAATTATTTGGGATGTGAGAACATGATCTGGTTTTTTAACGGTCAAAAGAAAATTGGTTGGGGTAGATTTAGACAAAGGGGTTATTACTTTTTAGTGACAGTTAGAAGTGGATGTAACGATTGCTTTGCCGTAATTGAAAGGGAATTTCATATGCATTTGCTGGCAATTTCTGTTTTTTAGTTTTTTTTTTTTTTTTCTTGGTTGACAACACGTTAACGCGTATTATTGTCAATTATTGGATCACCTAAACTGGAATTAGCCAGAAAAAAAAAAAAAAAAAAAATCCGAAGCTGTGGTTTTAGTTAGGATTTGTTGTTCTGAATTTTCGAGTACGAGTATTAACGAGCTTTTTTACTTTCGAAATTTTTACTGTATCATGATCGAAAATCTCAACCTTTTGTTTAGATGTTATCTGGATGAAGTGTAATTTGATTCAGATTCAATTATATTCGTATCTTTTCAATTTTTTTTTTATTTTTTTTGAGAACCCGTATCTTTTCATATGTTCTGGCTCTGTTTGGAATCATAGAATAATTAAAATTATCATGGAAAATTATAAAATTAGTCATTGACTTTTGGGTCAGGTTATTGTTGAGCCTTTGATAGTAGAATGAACAAATAAAGATGAAAGATGGACAAAATATGTGGATTTGAAACAAAAGCGTACCTTGTAAGCACCCACAACAGAAGCAGAAGAGGTAGATGAGCCTGATGAAACTGATGACTGTCGTGAATGATCACTTTCGTCCTCAAAAGATGATACAGAACTGTTAAACTGAGTTGCATTTTCAGCCAGTGAATAAGAAGTCTTATAACATTCGATAGCCTTATTAGTATGGGATAATGTCTTGGAATTCCTTGGCCAATAACATCGATCAATATTACCAATTGCTGCATCATCATCTAGAATATCCACAACCCATTGAACCCAATCCTGTGTGGCTTTCCTCTCGGGTACATCCACTGTCACCGTGTTCCTCCAAGGTGGAGTCCCTGCGTTGGCCCTGAGGAACTTCCCCGTTATTGGGGCTTGTAGCTTGACATAAAAATCTTCACCTATGGGCTGCCATTGTACTGACAGATTGCTGTCAGTCTGCACGGTCTGCAGTGCCTTCTTTCCTGTCCAGCCCAACAGGAAGGGCTCCTCTGAGGCGGTCAGGAACTTGTCATAGCAGCTCCGGAGGCGGATAGTGTTGGGCTTGGCTTGGACTACCTCGACAATCCAACAAGCCTGCTTAGTGTTCCCGTGCTTGCTCTGCTTGACTGACTCACCGTCTGACCCTGCTACTAGGTACCTGTTGTGATGGCTTCTGAGCCTAATGAATTTTGTTTTGATGAAAAACTCCATAGCAACTTGGAGCTGAATGTTGATGGGCTTCTTTTATATTATGATTTGTTAATTAAGTGGTGGAGCAGTTACTAGAAAAACAAAAAAATGGAATGATTCTTGCTTACTTTCAATTTGTTAAAAAATAAATGTCACTTGGAATAAAGTTGGCTCGTTGAGAAGCTTTGTACTCTTGATTAAGCAAACTGGTGGATTAGTCTTCTAGCCCTACCATTTCAAGACCGTGTGAACAAATATTGTTAAGATTAAGGACTATGAGCTCCTAATTTATTAGGTCAACCACATCATTTAGAAAAGTCATGCATGGTATTGGTACTGGTAAATAGCATTAGCAATTTCCTATTATCAGAATTTGCCCAGTTGCTTACGATATTGTGTTGGCTATTTGTGCACTACGGTCTTTTTACCGAATTATAAGTTAGCCATGTTTATTCGGTCTTATTGTCTGGTTTGTATGCTTCAATGTGAACATGATTGTATTGGTATTACAATGTAGAATTTAAAGACAAACTTGTATAGGAAAATATTATAGAATGAACAATGATGGAAAGTACTACTATCTTTGCTATCAATATGTACAACTGAAGGTATGACGTAGAAGTCGGAACAAAGAATGGTCTAATATCATCAGAAGCATGAAAACATTGGTCCCTAGTCCCTACTGCCTTCTGCACAGACGCGTAGGCCAAAATGAACCGTCAGTCAGCAAGAAACATTGTTTTAATCTTCACCCAATCTTCCTCAACTCTTTCCAGCATTCTGTTGGCCTCAGTTCTCCTCACTTGCCAAGCTCCTTCCTCGTTTTTCATCTCCTCGAGTTTCTGGCTTTTCTGTCCCATTCTCGATATCAGCTCTTCAGCATCAGCCAAATTGTCAGCTTGGGCTTTCTCCAAGTCCGTAATGATATTTTCAACTTCTTCAAGTTGCTTCACCAATTCCTCTTTTGCATTTCTTGCAGTTTGTAACTCGCCCTGAAGTGTCTCTAGCTCACGAGCTTGAGCAGCATCCCTCTTAAGTTCAGCCATAATCTCCGATTTTCTAGTAGAGAAACTATTGTACTTGATCAAATTCTGGGAGGCTGAAACATGTTCATTCTGCATCACCTTAAGTTGCCCTTGTAAATTGATTAGGTCACCAGGGATTCTGCCTTGGGATTTTGCATCAGCAATAAGCACCTTTACGACCTTTTCCAGCTTTTCTCCCCTTTGTGAAGTTAGGATGGTATGGAAATCCAGATCTTTTAGCTCTTTGAGGGTTTTCTTAGCCATTTCGACTTCTACTTGATGAATGTGTTCCGAGTTAGATTTAGCTGAAGTTGCTCCTGTGCCTTTGGTGTCATTAAGTTCATCTTCCAAGCCAGAATACTGTGTTTAGGAAAACGAACACATGATCAGTTTCATTTAAAACATGATTACATGATCAGTAGAGAAAAATAGCTCAATTGAACCGCCCCTCATTTCGATAATGATATCACATTTGGTTACTCTATCAGATTATAGAGGGAAAACTAGTTAGATAATACTGGGAATTAAGAAATTTACAGAAATAATCATGTGTTTCTGATCCTGACTGTTTATGAAAACTGTGTATTTCATTGAAACAGAAGAAGAGAAGAAGAATAGCTCACCATAGATTTATGATCTCCTATATCACTCGACACGGAAGAAACATTGCTTTCCCTATTGTCCTCCATTAATTCAGTAGAACCATCATCAGCCACTCCCGAAAACTGATAATCGATCTCAACAATATCGACAATCCACAGGATCATGTTATCAGTGACAGCCCAATTTCCGGGTTCATCATGGGTTACAGAATTCCTCCAGGGAGGTACCCTTGGGTTAGCCCTTAGATAACTCCCTTTATGGCTTTTCAGTTTGATATAAGGCCCTTCTTTGATTGGCTCCCACTCTATAATGGGACCGTGGCTGATTGTCTGTAAAACCTTTTTTCCTGTCATTCCTAGCAGAAACGGGTCGTCAGACGCGGTTAAGTACCTGTAGCTCCAGCCGCTTCTGATGCGGATCACATTTTTCTTCCCTTCAACAAGCTCATAAACCCAACGGGCTTTGCTCGAGGACTTATCACGGCTTTGTCTGACTTGTTCCTCGTCTTCATCGGCTACCAAGTACTTGCTGTGGTGGCTGCATTTTAGCCGAAACACCTTTGCCCTCTGTAACAAATCCATTTTTCATGAAAGGTGTGTTCTATTGTTCATTATTTTGAGCTATGATTTGGAGAAGAGAGGAAGGAAACATCAGGAAAGATTTGGTCAGACTGACTTTGTCAAATTGGACAATTTGTCAGCAAACATTACAACAATTATTAACGCGTGAATATATAATTTGTTCAGATTATGGAGTACCACACACGTTTTTGATGAATAAAAAAGGTATTTTTCTTTTCAAAGCCTTAGACTTTTTCTTCCCTTTTTATAGTTAAACAATCTTGGATTGATAATGGATCTTATTCCAAATAAGCAAGATTAAACATTTTATCTAATGTACGCGTTTAATTAGCTGTACAGGTTAATGATACAGTTGTAATAATTAAACATAATAATTGTAAGCTGACACGGTTAAACATTTAATTTCTATAAATACATAAAGTTACGTTAGGATCAACTGGATTATTCTCTGGCTTCAGATATGCAGATTAGAATTGGCAAGGATTGTAATGGAATGTTCAGTTCACCTTTAAAAAATAATACTTCCTCCGTTCTAGTAGTATTGCAACAACTAGACTTTTACACTATTCATCACGTTTGTTTGACTACATATTATGATTTATACGTAAAGTGAAATATAGTCATGTGTGGTCTTGTTAGATTCGTCTCGTGAAATACTTTCACAATATCAACTTTTTATAATTTTTACACTTATATAAGATATTTAGCATATAAAATGTGTTTTGGGATGCATAATTTCATCCTTGTTGCAATATTTGTGGAATAGAGGAAGTATTCAGTAAAAATAATTTCAGTTCAATAAAATTCATTTAAGTTCAGTAAAATTAATATAAGTTCAGTAAAAAAACAGTAACTCTGAAAAAGAATTATAATAGAAAACAAGTAAAAATAATTTCAGTTCAGCAAAATTAAGGTGAAGTGAACGGGGCTTTACAGTTTATTCTTGTCGAATTAAACTGTACTTAGCAAGCATATTAACTACAGCGTATGGAAGTTAAAAAAAAAAAAAAAAAACCAGTGGGAATTATCTTTTGATTTTCATGTAGAAAATGAGAGAATGCAGATTGATATCAAAATGTATAGCATAATCAACTGTAATATTTCCAAACAGGTGCAAAATTGTCTATGAATATAGCTAGGCCGACTGGTGCAGAAGTTACATTTTATCAGACATCAGAAAACGAATTTTTAACCTTTCCCCAATCTTTCTCAACTCTTTCCAGCAATCTCTCAGCCTCGTTTTTCCTTACTCGCCATGATTTCTCCTTGCTTTCCATTTCCTTAAGCCCCTCGCTTTTCTGTTCTATTCTCGATATTAGCTCTTCAACTTCTACCATACTGTCAGACCGTGCTTTCTCAACTTTCTTGATGGCATTTTCAGTCTCCTCGAGTTGCTTCAACAACTCCTCTCTTTTGGCTCTTGCATCTACAATTGTGTTGTTGACATTGACCTCCAAATCCTGTAGCTCGCGAGCCTTAGCTGCATCCTTCTTTAGCTCATCCCTGATCTCTAATCTTTTTGTAGAAAATGTTGAATGCTCGACCAAAATTTGAGAGGCCAATTCATGGTCATTCTTCATAGACTTGAGTTGCTCTTGAATATTGACAAGTTTACTAGGGATTTTACCTCGGCCTATGGATTTTGCATCAGCAATGAGCACATCAACTGCCTTTTCAAGCTTCTTGTCCTGTCCCAAAGACAAGATGGTACAAAATTCTGCATTCTTCAATTGCTCAAAGGTTTGCTTAGCCCTCTTAACTTCCAATGTTTGGACATCTTCAAAGGCAGATTGGACAGAGTACTCGGACACAATGCTTGATTTTGCACCATTTATTGAGCTGACTCTGGCAGAATGCTGAGACCAACATAATCCCAAAAATATAGCAGTGTAAGACCTGTTAGTAGTCTCCAATTGAAAACACCACCCCGGAAACTTAAGATTCCATATTCAAGTAAAAACAATAATAAAGAGCTGATGAAGAAATCATGTTCATTGATGATCCCTCTAAGGCATGTTTGGATTGGGGGAGATGTATTACTAGGGTAATAAAAGTCAAACTAAGTAAAATGAAGTGAAAATAGGGAAGGAGGAGATAGTGATGGTGTGATTGTAAGGAAAATTACGTAGTGATGGTGTGGTATGAGGTGAAGAAAGAGGAACTAATGCCCTCATTTTGAGGGTAATAGTTACACAAGGGGGAGGGTGGGTAACTATTACCCTCATTATGAGAGTAATAATTCCTCCATCTCTCTTTTTTCCTCATGGCACAATTACTTAATCTATTTGTAAACACCATGCGTTCTACAACAACACCTCTAATTAGAAGAGAAGGGAGGTAAAGCATAGGAAAGGATCTGGTCAAGTTGACTTTGTGGTCTTTGTCAACGAGCATCATAAGGTGCTTGTTACTGAGGGAAAAGGAAAATAGGGAAGAAACATTCAGTTTTGTTATTTCATAATTTCATTAGCTGCTACTGTGGGTGATTCTAATATGTAAGCTCAGAGCCTCTTAATGCTGTAATCTTAGAGAAATTTTTTCAAGAGTTATATGCTTACAATATATTCAAATTGTAATTAATTTAATCATTAAAGCAAGAAAGTGCCAAATGAATACTCTAAATTAATTAAACATCTTTAAACAAGCTCTTAATCTTAACCCATTCTTTCTCAACTCTTTCTAATTTTCTTTCAGCTTCAAGTTGCCTTGCTTGCCATGATTCCTCCTTTGCTTCCATCTCCTCTAGTCTCTCATTTTTCTTCGCTATTCGTGATCTGAGCACTTCCACAGCCTTGATGCTGCTTTCTGTTTCTTCTAATTCCATCAACAACTCCTCTTTGTTAGCTCTTGGATTTACATACTCGTCGCTGAACCATTTGTCAAGGGTGGCCTCTAACACACAAGCCTTGGCCACATCCTTATCAACCTCGGCCTTGATCTCCAATATTTTACTGTCAAATGTAGCATAATCAACTAAATCCTGAGTGGCTAAGTTATGGTCATTTTTCATCGTCTTAAGTTGCTCTTGTAGAGTTTCTTGCCGCGATGTTTTATTATCAGCAGAAAGTTTACTTATTGCCTTTTCTAGCTCTTTGTATAGTCCTAAAGATAAGATGCCATGATAATCCATGTCCGTCAGTTCTTTGAGAGATTGCTTAGCCATATGAATTTCTGATTTGAGAACGCGTCCTGTATCTGATGTTGTTCGTTCTGTTACAACATAAACTTTATCGTCTAGGCCATCTAACATAGACCTTAAGTTGCTGAAGGAGATCGAATGCTGAGTTTAGGAACATAACATAAACCCAAAACCCAAAAAAGGCCAAAAAAAAAATATGAGTATTCTAAATTGGTATAAGCATTGATCCAAATCAGAAAACAAGAAAACACCAAGGGTCCAGCCCTAAGACATCAATGTGGTAAAATAAAATTCTGATAATATAAATTTTAGGCCTTTTTATGTTTTACTAGATCAGTTTTTATATAAGCTGGTAGCATTTTAGCTTCGTTAGATGTTTCTGATGATTTCAAAGAAATGAAAGGAAAATAGCAGAACAAAAATTATAGGAAGAAACAGAGTTTTGGTCTTTGAACATACCTCTAATGAGGAAGCCGAATTCGTAGACGGGCCATCATCCTCAATTGACAAAGTAGAGCAGCTTGAAAAAGATTTATGATCCACTGCATTACTTAACCGAGAAGGAACAGCATTTCCCTTAAAGGATTTTGAATCACCATTAGTTGACTTATGATCGATTTCGACGATATCAACAATCCACAGGATCATGTTCTCAGAGGCTGTCCAATGACCAGGCAGATCATGAGTAATGGTGTTTCTCCAAGGAGGAAGTCCTTTGTTTGACCTTAAGAAAGTTCCGGTATGACTTCTGAGTTTGATGTAAGGCCCTTCTTTGATCGGCTCCCATTCGACTGTGGCACCGAGCCAAGGTCTCTGTGCAACTCGCTTTCCTGTCATTCCAAGCAGGAAAGGTTCTTCAGACGCGGCTAAGTATTTCCAGCTGTTGCAGCTCCTGATGCGGATGACATTAGTCTTTCCCTCAACAAGCTCGAATGACCAACGTGTGTATGTTGAGGAGCTGTCGCGGGTTTGCTTGACTGTATCTTCATCTTGATCGGCTATCAGGTACTTGCTCTGGTTGCTGGTTTTTAGCCGGAAGACCTTTGCTCTTTGGAAGAACTCCATTTTTTCAGAATGGTGCACAAGGGGTAAGGGAATAGGTCTTTTGTGTTGATCATGGCTTTTAGACTTAGTATAGAAGGAAAAAGGAGGAAATTTATGGGAAAGTTCTATACATGAAAACGACCGTGGTGCTTTGGTTGATCATATTGTCAAAATTGAGGACTATTTCTGATATAATTAATTATTCTAGATTATTTCTGTGCTGCATCAGATTGCAATGTTTTTGTGGAAAACCAAACTTTGTCAAAAGGTGAAACTTTTCAATTTTGCCATTGGATGCCGAGCAGCTTAGCTGGTTAAAGTCTAGATAGGTAGCACCCAAGACCTGAGATCAAATTCTATACACATCATCAACTATTGTGGTTACCTATGTGCCATAATAGAATTACAGTAGCTAACGAATGGTAACTACATACGGAGTAGTAGGTAGTACTAAACTACTTAACTTTTCTAGCATGGTAGGGTTGTCATAACCATCATGTACAAATAAATTTGTTTGAAGCAAGCATGATTATGACTTCTCTGATTGTACAGACTGAATTTTATAAGCCTTAATACAATATTAAAATTGTTGGATGTTGGCTAATTATGTAACTAATGCTGTATTTCATGAAGATAAAGATACTGATGGCATAATATCCTCCTAGGATCGTGCCACTAATGTAATGGCTGTATTCATCGCAATCATGATCTTTTTTTATAATATAGACAAATTGATGAGGTAGGAAATGTATGTTACTGACTATTTTTTATCTTAGTACAAAAAATTATAATACATGGTTTGACAAAATTGCATATGTAATGATATCACTTTAATCTTTCGCATAATTTGGCACCAAATGAAAGGCACAATCAAACATCTTGGAGCAAACTCTTCATTTTTTCCCATTCTACCTCTACACTCTCCAACTTATTTTCGGCTTCAACTTTCTTCGCTTGCCATGATTTCTCATTCCTTTCCATCTCCCTAAGGCTTTGACTCTTTTCCCCTATTCTTGAAATAAGTTCTTCAATATCCACCGCTTTATCAGCCTGAGTTTTTTCTGCAGCCTTGATTCGACTGTCAACTTCCTCGAGTTGCTTCAATATGCTTTCCCTCTTGGCTCTTGCTGTCGCAAGCATTTTGCTAAAGCCATCTTCTATGGTCTCCAACTCGTGAGCCTTAGCAGCATCTTTCTTGAGTTCGGCCTTGACCTCTAATCTCCTAGTGCAGAATCTTGTGTACTCATTCAATTCTTGGCAGGCTAATTCACGGTCATTTCTCATGGACTTGAGCTTATCTCGGAGGTTGGTGAGGTCCTTAAGGATGGTTTGATCGCGGTATGACACTTTTGCATCAGCAATAAGGATACTGATGGACTTATCCATTTTCATGTCTCTCCCAGAAGATAACACAGTTTCAAAATCCATGTTGTTCAACTCTTTAAGAGTTTGTTTTGCCATCTTAACTTCTAGTTGGTGAGGGTGGTGATTAGAGGGATATTCTACTGAAGTCTCTGAATCAGCATCTGTTTTTGTATCGTCTTCTTCTTCCGTGCCATCGAGTAAGTCTTGTAGGCCATCTAACATGGATTTGAGCTTGTTGAAAGAACCGGAATGCTGTACACAACACCAACAAAAAAAAATGACAGGATAAGTTGCTTGTTGAGTTATTTGAATTGAGACAGAGTAGTAGTAATGCTAGGTAAGACTACTAACAAGAAAAGTATTTTAAGTACCTTGGACTCATTGCGTATGTTTTGAACATGGGGCGAAACTCGGGTGGATGTATCTGATGCTGTAGGACTTGTCCTTGGACTTGGAGTTGCAGAAACCTGTTAGCATATGCAAAATTAAACTCAATAATCAGTGTTCAAAAACTTTAGGTTATTACATTAGCCGAAAAGGCAAAATTATGGTGGTTTATGACAGTGAATCAGTGGTACATTGATGCAGCCTTGCAGGGGAGTAAAGAAATGCTTAGTGGCTTGAGCCAGTTTCATCAATTAATAAGCTTTAGCGTTTATAATGACGTGTTCAGATTCCGTTATTGTTTGAGGGATAGTAATGACGGACCCTAAAAAATCGAGTCCTTCATTCATCAACTCAATCTAAGTTTATCTGCTAACGCTTAGAAGAAAAGGTCAATCTCCACCCCCAAGAACCTCGACTAAGAAATGAAACGCGTGTTGTTAAGGTCGCAAGGTAGAGCATCTACCACTAGATCAAGCTCTCGTGGTTATTTAATGGTCATTTGTATTAGCTGCCTTGAAAGATAAAACTCTTCCAACATCCAAAATAATGACATAAACAAGTTCAATCCGAAACTAGCTAGCAACTATTATGTCACATTATTATCCAAATTTGGTTTACATCATGTTCTTGTCGTACTTTAATTAGTAGCTTCCCACTTACCAACCACTATTTAGTACATGCACCTAAAGAAAACTTAATTTGACCAAGTCACCCATTTGTCAATTCATCAAAACATCCCATTAAGAATAATTCATCATGAGATATTTTCAATTGATAACAATTAGGAACAATAATAAGCTAGTGAGCCCCACATATATAAAATTAGTTGCTTTTATTTTATGTTTTGATCTATTTCTTATTGTAAGTTTGACAAGTTCTAATTTAATACTATGTAATCTAATTCCTTAATCAGCAAATTTATTTCGTGTTTGAATAGTGATCGTCTTGTAAAATAAATCAAAATAAAAAAAATAAAAAAAATAAAAAATTAGAGACGGGGGAGTAATAATTAGGTGTGAGTAAGATTAAAGACCATAATAACTAGAGCTTAATTAGTCCACTACATCTTATGCTTTGTTTATTTACACCTATCATTATTCTTAACTACCTTTCAGACCAAACGTACTAGTTTCTTCTTGCTAGAAAGACTCAATTTTCGGTCTTCTTACCTAATCTAATCTAAGTCTTGGAAGAAACAACATACTAAGTATTAAACACTTGTAAAACTTGGCACAATATAATGCAAACATATATATACTTCCTAATATATTTTGTTTTTATTTTCATTATATATTGAGAGAACTTATTCAATTATATAAGTTGATATATATTATAGCACGGATAGATTGAATATGTATATCATTATAGGCTCATAGTATGATAAAAATGTTACTCCGCCGTAAAAGTATACATGTATTAAAAGATTACGGGCTTGTATGGTTTTGTAGGGGGTCAATTTGGATTTTGAACAAAGAGCATGTAGAGTGAAAAAAATATATGCCCATAATTTAATGTTCCCAAAAGACCCAATTGAAAAGTGTTACAAAGTATAATAACAATAATCCCTTGATACTCTTCTTGTTCCATGCTAAAGATTATGCTTAGTATATTATGACATTTTCAGTATTGTTTTGTCTAAATTGATGATATACTATATTGTACAATAGAATAATGTCATAGGGCTAAACTAATTCTCTTTAATTATGTCACTCTCAAAATATACCTACAAAGTCAACATTGTAATATCTTATTTGTATGTAATTAACTTCACTAATTAGAGGTAATGCACACATGATTTTCCATTGAAAATAAAATTAATAATAAACAAATGATTTTTTGGACCCACTAACCTTAGAATTAGAACGAACAGATCTAGCAGACTTAGGTGTAGAACTTGCCACAGGAGATCCAACCTCATGACAGTCATTAGCCACTTCCTCCATTATTGTTGTTGAAGCATAAGAAGAATTCCTTGACAAAGAGCCATGATCCTCTACATTGCACCCTACGGAATCTTCAAGTACACCCTTTTTATCTTCAACCTCGTCCATTGATTTATAGTCAACCTCAACAACATCAACGGTCCAAAAAATCCAATCTTGAGTAGCACTTCTAGAAGGAACATCATGTGTTACGGAATTATTCCATGGAGGTACCCCTCCGTTACCTCTAAGGAAGTTTCCATTGCGAGTTCTTAGCTTCACAACGGAACCTTCCTTGATAGGCTCCCACTCGACGGTTGAGTCGAGTCGGAGCCTAGGAGATGATTGTAGTCCTCGGATGCGGTTAAGTATTTCCAACTATTACAATTTTTTAAACGTATTACATTTGGTTTTCCTTCGATTGGCTCTACCGTCCAACGCGCGTTCTTTGAGGAGCCGCTGCGGCTTTGCTTGACGGCCTCTTCGTCTTCGGAGGCCGTCAAGTACTTGTTGTGTTGGCTACGGAGACGAACCACTTTGGCTTTCTTGAAAAATTCCATTGTGTTTTTGGTTGTTTTACTTGGTGTTGTTGAAGGGGATGTGAGGGTAGAATTGAAAAATGGAAGGTTGGATTGATTATATGAACTAATTTTCCCCCCTATTTTTGAGGTGGGGCCCTTTAATTTGTGGGTTGGAAGGAACGAGGGAAAGAAGTGTTTATTGTCAAAGGGTAATTTAGTCAAAAGTACACTTACTCGGTTTTCTATGTTTTTTCTTCGTTATTAAGATCTTGAAATGAAACTAATTTTAGTCGACAAGAGAGAAGTTCCAAGTTGATATGCCATGCCTTACCTCCTAAGTATTTTTGGTTTTATCTTTAATAAAATTTGGGTGTTTTTGTCATATGATTAATTATGGTAACATATGATATTATGGTGTGTTATATTTGGTTAAAATTTATTTAACTACGGTACATTAGCTTGATCAAACTTGTCTAATTTACAAGCCTTTAGAATTAACGTATTTAAATGTACGTATTAGCCCTCAATAACCAAACTCATCATAAAGAATAAATATTTTTGAGAAGGTAAATTATAATTTCAATAACTTTTTGCACCTATAGGCTATAGCATTAGTGAGAAGAACAAACCGATTAGAAAGAAATTTTATAGCCTATAAAGCTATAATCAACTTAACAAAGCTTAACAGTACTAGAATAATAGATAATCACATACTATGTAGAACTTACACGGAATGTATAAACTAATAGGGCATATTAATTTTGAAACAATTCAAATAGGATGGCATGGTACGTAGGGCTGAGCAAAACTATTTGAAGATCCGAAAAATCCGATAATCCGATTCGTATCCAATCCAAAAATTATTGATATTTGATCCGAACTTGATTTCGGATCCGATATCCGATCCGGATTTTTCGGATATATCCAAATTTTGGATTTCGGATATCCGATATCCGAAAAATCACTTGTTTTTCCATTAGTATTTCTCGAATATTCTCTATGTTTCAGCCTTCTCAAAAAAAAAAAAAAAAAAAAAAAAAAAAAAGGATTGGAGACTGAAACCCTTATTCCCTAAAAAGAAACCCATTTCCCACCACTCACGCCTCTCT